TCCAACTTGTAAAAAATAAAGCATAAGAACTATGATGATGAAAGTGACAGTGACAGTACATAAGTAGATTAAAGTCAGTGGTCCAAAAATTAAGTAATGTTTCCTTGTATTATCAATGTATCTAATATTTTCTCTCATAACAATACTATGATAAACATTATTGAAAGGGTAGAAAATCGTAAATTTTGCATTTAGCATTTAATGAAAATTTAAGCTGAAATTGCTTGAAAATGCATTTCAGAGAGTGTAAATTTCAAAATTGGACACAGACGCTTACTTTTAGCCCCAGCCGCCTACTGTAAATATTATTGAAAGCTCTGATTAGCAACAAAAAAATGGCCTGGTAATGTAATTCCTTTGTTTCGAAAAAATAAAGCGGCAAGTAAAGAACTGGAAAACTTGGTCTCACAATTGGACGAGACTTGTTCATTCCCATCCGCCTCCTTTGACAAAGATGGAATACGACAACACATCCTGGACGTCCTCAATGAGAGGCGCCGAAAAATTAGAGAAGGCCATGACTACACTCAGATATTGTATTTAATGATAATAAATAAATATGCGCTGTAATAGAAATACAATAATAGATTAAAAGGCAAAATTAAAAAGATAGTTTAAAAAGATTAATTTCAGGCATGTCGGAATTATGTGCGGATGCGGACGCGCATAAATGCCCCCTTTCCGCATAATTTACCAAATCGCGCATAATCTCGCATAATTCGTGTTTTTTTTCCCATGTTATACCATTTTTTAAGATGATTTGCCTTCTACTAATGTTTTTTGTGGTCCATTGACTGTTTTTTTGATCAAAAAACGCTCCCAAACATGCTTAGAATTTTCCGAATATAATTTTGTTTTCGTGGGCTTCACAAATGTACCAGGCGTTCAAAATTTCAYCAGAAAAGAGWCTGKGHACTAGYAYTACTGGTCACCCTGTGCCTTACTAGATCACGTGACAAATTCCAATATGGCGTATGATACAAGTGGGACGTAAAGCGTGCGAGAACGAAAAAGTCTAAAAGGATNGTTGTAAGGGTTGTAGCGGTTGTAAGGGTTGTAGCGGTTGTAAGGGTTGTAGCGGTTGTAAGGGTTGTAGCGGTTGTAAGGGTTGTAGCGGTTGTAAGGGTTGTAGCGGTTGTAAGGGTTGTAGCGGTTGTAAGGGTTGTAGCGGTTGTAAGGGTTGTAGCGGTTGTAAGGGTTGTAGCGGTTGTAAGGGTTGTAGCGGTTGTAAGGGTTGTAGCGATTGTAAGGGTTGTAGCGGTTGTAAGGGTTGTAAGGGTTGTAAGGGTTGTAAGGGTTGTAGCGGTTGTAAGGGTTGTAGCGGTTGTAGGGGTTGACGATAACTGATATTTTTAACAGAAATACGAGCGATCGAAAATTGGTAAGAATGTATGGGATTATCACGACTAAATGCGTTTTAGACTAGTCAAGAAATACCTAAAAATATCTTTGTTTTAAGATCGAAATGAATATTTTATATCCAAGGCCAGGAACAGCATATAATTTCCAACAGTTATGCAAAGTTTGAAGTTAAACTGAAATTTTGGTAGCAAAAATAAAAGCGTTTGAATACGGTCGTACTTTACAAGGGAATGTGTGGAAAGCCATGATTTAAGGAATAAAAGACGAAATTCCGTGTTTGATACTCTGATCAAAACACGCGGGATGTAGGGAGAGCACGAGAGAAGCGTAGGAAACCATGACGCGTAGCGGAGTGGTTTCCAGCTTTTCGAGTGCTCTCCCTACATCCCAAGTGTTTTGATCAGAGTATCAAACACGGAATTTCGTCTTTTATTTCTTTTCTAAAATTAAAAGAATACGAAAATTGTAAAGAATTCTGACTTTTGATACGATATGAAACGAGCGTGTTTTGATACKGWAATCAAACAYGGTTTTCKACCAATCACAGCGCGCGTAGTATCCTAAATATTTTAGAAAGTGTACTATTAATCCTGTACACGAACACGGCTCCATGAACATGGCGGACAGTAACTCCGGGTGTCGAATTGAGGTCAAAACTAATGATTTTGCTTTAGTTTTACAACAACAACATTTTAAACATTTAATTTAATGCTGAAGCTATACTTGTTTTAAAGGTTTATTTATCGCGTTTCAAGTCGCGTGACAGTATTGCGTGACATATTTTTGAACGTTAATAACTCAACGAATACACAGCGAAAAAAGTTTAAAATTTCGGAGAGAACTTCCATCATGCTTTTCAAGGTATTTTAGTGCTGCAATGTTTTCTGTCTGTGATTTTAGAATTTTTTTCGACTGATGACGTCATGTGCAAACCGAGAATACACAGTACACGATCAGAAAGGCTTGTATCAAATTGTTGTCTTTGTTTGCAAAAAAATAGACAAAAAAATGTTTTAATTTTTTTCGCGTTACTAAGTGCTCTTTTGTTCAGTTTTACTCTAAGAGTGGTAATGACCAATTAATCAAGAGACCGAAAGGGGTAATCAAAAAGACCATATCTGATCCAGTACAAACCACAGCAAAGTGTACCCTGCGAACAGAGGATTGTTCCACCTCCAAAAATTCCTCTGCTCGCAGGGTATCGAAATTGTGACAGAACGAACAGAACCAGACGATAATTTAACACAAGAGTTAGAAATAAAATATGCAGGCAAGAAGACGTCTAAAGAGGA